AGAACTCGAACTATTACTGTTTGCTGTACCTAGAAGATCCAAAAAACTCCACCAGAAAACCTCTAGAACTAATAAATGAATTCAGCAAAGTAGCAGGATATGAAATAAACACACATTTCTGTACATCAGTAACAAATCCTCTGAAAGAGAAACTAGGAAAACTCTCCCATTTGCAATAGCCTTAAAAAATAAAAATAAAATATTTGGAAATAAACTTAACAGAAGATGTTAAATACCTCTACAATGAAAACTGCAGAACACCAAAGAAAGAAAGAAGACCTTAGAAGACAGAAAAATCTCCTGAGTTCTTGGATAGGCAGAATTAATATTGTCAGAATGACCATACTACCAAAGACACTCTACAGATTTAATACAATCCCAATCAAAATTCCAATGAATTCCTCATAGAAATAGAAAAAGCAATCATGAAATTCATCTGGAAAAAATAAGAGACCCAGAATAGCCAAAGTAATCCTTAGTAAGAAGAGTAAAACAGGTAGCATCAGTATAGCAGACCTTAAAGTGTACTATAGAGCACTAATAACAAAAATAGCATGGTATTGGCACCAAAATAGACCTGTAGACCAATGGTACAGAATAGAGGACATAGAGACTAACCCACATAATTATAGTTATCTCATATTAGACAAAGGCACCAAAAACATATATTGGAGAATAGATAGCCTCTTTAACAAATGGTGCTGGGAAAATTGGAAATACATATGCAACAAAATGAAGTTAAACCCCCATCTCTCACCATGCACAAAACTCAACTCAAAGTGGATCAAAGACCTAGGAATTAAACCAGAGACCCTGTGCCTAATAGAAGAAAAAGTAGACCCAAATCTCTATCATGTTGGATTAGGCCCCGACTTCCTTAAGAAGACTCCTATAGCACAAAAAATAAAATCAAGAATCAGTAAATTGGGATGGATTCAAACTAAAAAGAAAATGAAACCATCACTAGGTGAAAAGAGAGCCTACAGAATGGGAGCAAATTTTTACCACACGCACATCAGCTAGAGCACTAATATTCAGAATATATAAAGAACTCAAAAATCTTAAAGCAAAAACAAAAACAAATAACCCAATCAATAAATGGGCCAAGGAACTGAACAGACACTTCTCAGAAGAGGATATACAATCAATCAACAAATATATGAAAAAATGTTCAGCATCTCTAGCAATTGGAGAAATGCAAATCAAAACAGATACTCACTCCAGTCAGAATGGCAGCTATTATGAATACAAATAACAATAAGTGTTGACGAGGATGTGGTGAAAAAGGCACACTCATACATTGCTGGTGGGACTGTAAATTGGTGCAGCCAATATGCAAAGCAGTATAGAGATTCCTTGAAAAACTTGGAATGGAACCACCATTTGACCCAGCCATCCCATTCCTCAGTTTATACTCAGGGTACTTAAAAACAGCATACTGTGGTTAACACAGCCACATCAATGTTTATAGCAGCACAATTCACAATAGCAAAATTGTGGAACCAACTAGATGGCCTTCAGTGGATGAATGGATAAAGAAATTGTGGTATATATACATAATGGAATATTACTTACTCAGCATTAAAAGAGAATAAAATCATGGCATTTGCAGGTAAATAGATGGAGTTGGAGAATATTATGGTAAGTGAAATCAAGTAATCCCCAAAACCAAATGCTGACTCTTTTCTCTGATATGAGGATGCTGATACATAATGAGGATGGAGGGAGGAGCATGGGAGGAAAGGAGGAACTTTAGGTAGGGCAAAGGCCATGTAGGGGAAGGGAGGGGGAGGGGGTAGGAAAGATGGTGGAATGCGATGGACATCATGGCCCTAATCACATGTACGAAGACCCGAAAGGTGTGACTTGACTTTGTGTACACTGAAACATGAACAACTGTGCTCCATATGTGTAATATGAATTGTAATGTATTCTGCTGTCATATATAACAAATCAGAATAAAAAATAATACGTTTTTTTTAAAAAAGAGTGGTAAGTAGAAAGATTTGAAAAACTTGTAGTTTGGCCATATGAGAATGAAACTCCAGTTTAGGACATTGTGGCTGCTAAACATACCATATCCACGTAGGAATGCTCAGCACTTCACCCAGAAACCACAGGAAGATGGTGGAGCGCAGGTCAGGAGTTGGCAAGACCAACGCACTTCAGGTCAGGGTGTAAAGTTAAAATTCCTTTGAGAAGAGACAATGAGTGGTCCTCGCTCGTGCAGTGGGGGTCTAGGACGTCGTTTTGTTGTGCTCAGCCACCTAGACCCCCAGAAGCTGCTGCAGCTGGGTCCTTGAAGGTTTGGCCGCTGTTGAGCTGGTGTGGCCGAGTGTGGCTCCTCCACGTGGTGATGGATCTGCAGGAATGCAGGACGCTGGCGGTAGGGGACGGCGGGGGCTTCCACCCGTATTTCAAAGGACGGCCTGGAAGGACAGGCCAGTGCCTCAGGGTTTGAGTCCCCACAGGCACCCCCCCAAGGGTGATGTGTGCAGATGTGAGAAGGAGCTGCAGCTGCAGGGAGACGCCCAAGATGAAGAGATGCCATACTGTGGGGTGTCTGCTGAGCAGAGCTGCAGGCATTGAGTGAGCTCAGACCAACTCCGGGCAGGACGTGGCCGCGACAGCAGAGGCGCAGGGTGGAGCTGCGCAAGTGTGGAGAGCACATCAGGTCCCTGCGGTCCGTAGGCTGGACATGGAGTCGCAGGACGCGTTTGCCCAGCGGGATTTCTGTCTGGCTTGGTCCCACCCCTTCTTTCTGTGACCGGATCTCTCCCTTGTGGAATGGCATGTTTACTCTGTGCCTTTACGTGTTGGACATATGTCACTTGCTTTTGGTCTTGCCTCTCAGATAGGAGTTTGCCTGGAGTCTCAGGAGACTTTGGACGTGGACCTTTGGGCCATGCTGGGACTGTTAAGACTGTGGGGACTCAGAAATGGGCTAAATGTGTTTTGCACTGTGAGATGGGCTTGAGCTTTTGGGAGTCAGGGGCAAGATGTTATGGTTCAGATAGGAGGTGTCCCCCCAAACTCATGTGTGAGACAGTACAAGAAGGTTCAGAGCGGAAATGACTGAACTAGTGGATTAACTAGGCGGGGGCTGTAGGCGGGGAGGGTGTGACTGGAGGAGCTGTCTCTCTGCTTCCTGGCTGTCATGTTCTGAGCTGCTGTCCTCCCCTGCCATGATGCCCTGCCTCACCTCTCTGTCCCCCAGCGTGGAGGTGGCCATCTGTGAATGAGACTTCTGAAACTGTGAGCCAAAACAAATGTTTCCTCTTCTAAAATCCTTCTCGTCAGGTCTTTTTGCCAGTGATGAAAAGCTGACCTCACGCCCTTGGGGTCCAGGCTGGGCTCACTTCCTGCCTGGCTGGCTGCTCTCTTCTCTCTCTATTGGGGTGACCTCTCACCCTCTGGCCCTAAGAGTCGGAAGGACCCGACTCTGTCGAGCCTGCGGCTTCCACACTCTGTCTTGACCAACTCCTGATGTGCATCCGGGCTGCGCTACCTGGACTCTGGGCCCACTGTGTGGACTGCCACACTTCTCTGTCTCCCATGTCCTTCTCTGACCAGCCAGTCTTGCCAGGATGCCTCAGCATCTCCCCATACACCCAGTGTTCACCAGTTGTCACCCCCTGGGTGGCTGTGATGCCTGTTTGGCCCCTGCACCTGGGACCCTCCCTAGTTTTGGAGAAGTCCCAGTGACATCCAGCTCTGTACCTGCTGTTCCAACTGCCTGATGGCTGGCAGATATGGCCCCCTTGAAGGGTCCTTCTCTGAGCCCTTCTAAGTAGCTCTCTGCCCACCCCTCCATGCTCCGCCCACAGAACCTGTTGCCAGGTGACACATGTGTTGGTTTGCTTGAGACCCGGAGTGCCACAGCAACATGCACAGTTCTGTCCTGGAAGTCCAGATCAGGGTGCCGGTGGTGCAGGGAGACTATGTCCCAGGCTGTGCTCTGGCCCTGTGACTTGCCCTGGTGGTGGCTCTTGCCTGGTTTTACCATGTGTCTCCATGTGGGCTTTGCTGCTGCACTGCCCTGTGTCCATTTCCCACTTTCTACAAGGCACCAGTGTTGGACTAGGGCCCGTGCTCAGCGTCCTCTTCACTGATTAAATCTGCGGCCCCCTGTTTCCTGATGAGGCCCAGTATCTGGCCTAGGATTTCACAGAAGGGTGACTCCTGGTGGTGCAGCCCACAGCCACCAGCTGCTTCTTCCTTTGCTAAGGCCTTTGTCTCCTGTGTCTCCCACAGGGAGCCCTGAAGGCAGGGCCTGGCCTCCAGGTTGAGAGCTGTGTTCCTCCCCGACACTGAGTGGGGGGAGTGAGCGGCAGAAACCTTGCTGCCGTGGCACTGTGCATTGATCCTCCCTCACAGCAGCACTCACAGGGGCCCAGGCCGTGGGGACTGGGGACCCTGAGTCCTGGCGTCAGGATTTGTAACGGGAGCAGAGTTGCAGGTACCTGTTACCTGCCACCTTTTCATCAGGCAGCCCTCCCTGCTTCATGGCCTTGCTGGCCGTGTGCAGCCGCAGCATCCTGGTGGTCCCTGCCCAGGATGGGGTGCAGCTCGTGGCACGTCCCTCTTGTCCCCCATTTGTGTCTACCCAGGTGGAGTTTAAAGACCCTTCACTGGGATTGTCATTCACCTCAACAGTGGATCCGTGTAAATAGCTGCTTGCTCTGAGCACTTCACGCCCATGGTTTTCGCATCTCCTCCTCACTCCTCTGCCTCCCCCTGCCTGCCCTCTCTAGCACGTTTTTCTCGAAGGCTGAGATGAGCCAGAGGTGGCATCGTGGACCCGTTACGCTTACTGGCCATTCCATCTGCACCTCATTGTCTGTCTCAGTGCTGGAAAATTCAGGTGGCTCATCATGACTGAGGAGCCACCTGGTCCCCGCCCCAAGAATGGGCACATCCGGGAACAGCCAGCCGAGGCAGCTCCCTGGGGACCCTGGCTTCCCATCACCCTTGCTGACGATGCCCCTCTCCCTCCACAGCCCCCTGAACCTGGAGAAGGGGAAGCAGCTGATGGGGGATGTCGCCCACCTCCTGAAGGTGCCGCCCAGCATCTTTGAAGATATCGAGTGAGTATGCGAGGCTGGACCTGTCGGCTGAGCCTGAGCTCACCTTAGTTCAGCCTCAGAAATGGGTTTATGAGGGAACGAGCTGTGCGTCTGGGGTTCTTGTTTATTATGTCAGAAATTCTGTAGAAGACAAGAGTTCTAGCAGGCCGCGGTAAGTTTTCCAAGTGCAGGGAATCCTGGGCTGAACTGTGAGAATCCTCATCCTGAGGGCAGCGTACCCAAGGCCAGTGCCTGCTTTGTGCACCTGCCGTCCCTGGGTCCGTGGCATCCTGCCTGCTCCACTGCACACAAGGGCCCTGGGGAGGCCTACACCCATGGACCCTTTGCCTGCATGCACTGAGCAACTGGCAGGGCCCTGCCAACCTCTGGAAGCTTCCCTAGGGGTGGCCTTGGACTTGAGGCACTGAGGTGATCAGCACCCTTCTCCTGGGGGAAGGAGCAGGTGCCCAGGAAGCAGGAGAGTGGCAGTTCCTGTCCTGGGCTTGTAGTATGTAGGTGCTGGAGAGAGGGTGTGCATGAGAGAAGCAGCCTGGACACAGGCTGGCACCATGTAGGCTGGGTGCTCGTGCGGAGTCCACCCCATGACTGGGAGGAGGGTGGGAGGGGGCCTTGCAAAGAGAGGTCAGGACCATCGAGTGGAGGTGAGAACTGAAGTGAAGGCCTGCCTGTACTCATCTGTGTGTGTGTGTGTGTGTGTGGTGCGATGTGTCCCCCTGTGTGGTCTGAAGACTTCAGGAGCCTGCAGAGGGCCGTGGACATACAGGCCAGGCATGACATGGAGTGGAGAACACGGGATTCACCTGGGTGAGGACAGGTGATCAGCCAGGGATCCCTGGTCCCAGACACGTGGGTGCCCGGTTCCTGTCTGTCGGGCTCTCCGAGGTGCATCTGCTCCTGCTGGTTGTCTCCTTATCCCCTGCGGGCGATAGTTCCCTGGTGACCACAGAGTGGACACAGTGTGCTAAAACGGCCTGTGAAACCCTGAGGGCTTACTGCCCCTGATTGCCCTCAGCCTTCCCTCCTTACCCAGATGCCCTGGGTGGGCCTGGGCTCCAGTCCGCAGAGGCCATCGGATGCTGTCCAGGTCCAGAGGCTGACGGAAAAGCAGGAGCCTGGGTGGGTGAGTGCCTGTTGCTCAGTGGCCTTGTGGCTGAAGGTGAGCATGGGCAGGAGGAAAGGCCGGCTACAGGGGCCGCGGGTGGACAGCACTCCTGGCGGAGGTGATGTGGCAGATGCTTCCTAAGCTCAGGGGGAAGGAATGGCTCCTGAGACTCTAGAACAGAGCTCACCCAGGCCCACCGAGGCCTGTTCACTGTGTGCTCCTCATTTGTCTTCAGTGAGGCCCTTCTGGGGCCGCTGTGCAGCCACAGGGAGTGGCGGCCATGTGCCCAGGGGCTTCTGTGGTCTGCAAGAGTTTGTTGCTCTCTGTGGTCAGTCAATAACTTGCATCATAATGGAAGGAGGCTGGGGGGAGGCCACCTTGCCGGTTGGACACTGCTGCTGGAACAGTGCTGGTTTGTGAGGTGGACCCTGGGAGCAGAACCACTGTATTCTCAGGGTTCAGTGGGGGGTAGTGTGGCTGGCCACCACATGAGCCGCTTGTAGGAGATTCTCCGAGTAGCCCACATGGTCCCACTAGCCTGAGAAGTGAGAAGTGGCAGGTTGGGAGGCCCTGCTCGGGGAAGGAGGTGAGTTGGGCTGCAGAGCTGACGTGCTGTCGGCCCACTGCTCCTCTGGATCCTCCCACGGAGAGCCCTTGCATCCGCTCGGGTTCTGGGTACAGCTGCCTGCCTCTCTGGGGAGCGAGGAGTGGCTGAGCCTGCCTGCTGAGTCCCTGCTGCTTCCACTTCCAGGCCTCCTCCCTGCTCAGTGCAGGGCCCCTCTTCCCCAGAAGTCAGCCTGAGCACCACCCTGCCCAGGACCTTGGGCCATGGTCTGCAGCTCCTGGCCAGCGTCCTCCCTGCAGCCTTTGCTCGCGTCCCCAGCTCCTCACGGTCCTCATCCTGATCCTTGCTGCTCCAAAGCCTCCTCCCCAGTCCCCGGTTCTGGCTTGGTGGAGCCATGCCTCCCTGGGTCTTGTTGTGGGTCCTGTGTATATAGGTAGCTTTGCCCTTTGGAACATACAAGCCTTACCTGAATGTCCTGAGAATCCCCTGGGCCCAGTAGTGACGGATGCTCTGAGGAGGGGTTCAGGCCCGGGCTGTGCCTCAAGGGCATCTCGGAGGAAGAGCAGCAGCACCCTGGGTGCCTGGTGCTGCCTGTAAGAGCACAGCCTCAGAACTGTTCATGGTTTCAGTCCCAGGAAAGGGGCACGTGAGCTGGCACGTGCAGGCATTGTCTGCATTTTTACGGAGGTAGTAGTTATGCTTAATATGTTTTGTTAATGGTTATGTAGCTGTCAAATAAATCCCATTATTTCTTATTACATCATTAGAGACCATTAAAACGGCATTAGCTTGCTGCTGGAGTTATGCTAGCAGACACAACGGCCACAGTTATGATCTTATAATCTAATCTTGGCTGTCCCAGGCAGGGCTGACAGATGCGGGGGCTGCTTCCTGCAGGATCCCGGCCAGGTGGGCAGTACTGGGGTGGGCAACACAGAGGGAGAACATGCTGAGAGCCCTGGAGTCGCAGAGGGTGCCTGGGGTCAGTTCTCTGGATGAGCCCTGCAGTGCATGAGGCGTGGGGTCAGCTGGGGCATCCCCAGGGGACAGGCTTATGCTGTGATCAGCCCTCACGGCTCTTGGCGTGCACAGGGCAGTCTTGTTTCTCATCTGTGGGATTCACTAGCTTGATAAGTGCAGTGCTCTCATTCTTCACAATGGTCACTGGGGACACAGCTGCAGAAATTCTCCCCCCAGACCCTTTTCACCAGGGTCTCCTACTGCACAGGCCTGGGGACATGCCTGCACCCAGCACATTTCCTCTCCTCAGACCACCCTCCATGTGGGAGATGATCCCTGGGGGTTACGGCTTCAGAAAATACCCTTTGGCTTCCCAGAGAAGAACAGTGTTATTTGCCCTAGCCTTGTCTCTGTGCATTGGCAGATCCGGGGAGATGTTACATAGGAAGCAGGGGTAGGGGAGGGGAGGAAAATGGCCTCTCCCCCTGGGTTGATGCTTCCTGCTGTCTCTGTGGACAACATTGATCGCAGAGCCCCGCATCACCTGATGTGTGTGCCTGGGCGGTGTGGATCAACAATGGCAGGGCCTGTGCTTGGGGCAGATGCATAGTGCTCAAAGTCCAGTCCCTCCAGCAGTGGGTGGGGCACCTGCAGGAGGGTCTTGGTAAGTGGGGCTGCGTTTGCAACGTGGTGCACTGCTATTGTACACCCATGCTTCTGGTGACACCGCTGCCGTGGCAGCTGGGCTCAGGATTTGCCTGGGGGGTCATGGAGCAAGGTGGAGCAGAGTACCTGGTTGTGGAAAGCTTCCCAGAGCAAGTGTAGGTCTGTCCACAGCCCGCCTCTGGATCCTGCTGAAGCTGCAAAGGGTGGCCCGGGGGCCAGAGACAGGAAACCAAGAGTGTCAAGGCACTGTGGCAGGACGTTGGAACCGCCCAGTCCTGTCTTTAGACTGAAGATGAGGTAGCGGGAAGAGGTGTCATTATGATATGCAGGTGATTCTTCTGGAGGAAGAGGCGGCACCTTTCACTGAGCGAAGCCCATGCTCTGCTTGGTGGCACGGGCTGGGCGCTCCCACTCCTCGTGTGAAAGGAAACTGCACCTGGGGAGGAGAGGGTAGCTCACCTTCCTAAGAGTCCTTGGTTTCCCTGCTGCACACCAAGGAGCCCAGGCATAGCCCTGTTACAGCCAGCCTGGAGTCTGCTCCCAGGAGCCCTCTGTGGGCCCAGGCCCCACGATTGCTCTCTCTGAGCCTTTTAATTCTTCCTCCCAAGTGAGGCCTATGGCAGGACTGCAGAGCTCAGGACGGAGCCACGTGGAGGTGGGCAGTGCATGGCAACCTGTGCCTTTCACTGGTGTCTCACTGCTGTGAGGAGGAAGCACTCTTCCTTCCACTGTGGGTGGGTTTGCACTGGTAAAAGCAGCCCAGTCGGCTCTTCTTTCCAGGAGCAGCTCTGGTGAGATCCTGCGGGTGACTGGGGCACGGTGCACAACTGCAGAGTTCAGGCACTACGCTCCTGTGAGACTGTGGTTCCTGGTAATGACGCTTTACTGACAAGATTTGGGTCTCCATCCTTCCCAGTCAGCAGGAGGCTCCTTGGGGGCAGGAACTAGTCAGTTCGGCAACCTGGTGTCTGGGTTTGCTGAGGAGGAGTGAGTGAATGTTGCCTGGATGGATGGAACCTGGCTCAGAGGCACCTGGCTTCGAGTCTGCCTTTGTCGACTTGCTAGAAGACCTTGGGCAGATTGCCTAAGCTCCAGCAGCCTCAGCTTGCCCACCTGAAGGGGAGGGACCAGGTGGGCATCAGCACTCAGTCGCCTACAGCCTGTGTGTGGGATGCACCATTCAGAAATGAGGTGCTGCTTAGGCTGGGAGACAGGAGGGCCCATGAGGCAGATAGGTTGTGTGAAGCATAGCTGAACACCGGGCAAGGTGTGCTTGTCTTCACGACTTGCCCTGTCAGAACTGCCTGCTGCTGCTCAGCTTGCATTCATTCTCAGCCAAACAAAGTGAAAATCAGTCTTCTGTTCTGAAGACATCTCTGTTGAGCAGAGACGTTGCAGGAGTGCCGTCTCCAGCAAGGCTTTGGAGCAGGAGGCCAGCTTGTGATCTGTTGAGAGCCACAGCCGTTTTAACGCCAAGGTCGCGGGTTCGCTCCCCGTACGGGCCACCAAATGCCGCAGTCTGGCTGGGCACAATCAGGAGCCACTTGTCAAAAGAAACTAACTTTATTTTTAGAACCACACACGCCAAACAAAACAGCCTCTCAGGAAAAACCCTCAGAGCCTCAACTGCCACCACCGGCTTTTCACAAGCCTGTCTCTCCCACACAAGCTTCTTTTCACCTCCCACAATCCTCCTGCTCTTGAGGC